GCATACAAAATTCTTTATATACACGTCGAAATACAGCTCAGGTTTCATGATGCATGTTGCATAATTTAAACTACTTTATTTCGAATTTAATTGCAAGATAAATTAGGTTAGGTTCGTATGTGATAAACACGATTGAAGTTTTACACAAACAATAAATTAATTAATTTAACATTAATCATAATATTTAATGTAATAAAAATAATAATAAATAATAGCTATTATGTTGACATAAACATATGTCAACCTTGTTGCAAAATAAATACTTTCTTGTCTTTTATATTTAACAATGACAAATTTCTAAGTAAACCTCGAGTATCGACGAATCGGCGTCAGAAGCAGTTTGCACCAACGCAGGAATTTATTTCTCTTAATTTTTTTATCATTTACAATTAGCTGGTAAAGAATAACCCGACATTTTAAGGCATATGTTTCAACGACAAAACTGAGAAGAATCGGTTACTTCGAAGGTTGCCAGACAAGGTGACGTCACGTAACCCTCATTATCACTCTATTTCCTTCCAATGAATTCCTCCACGCGGAGAACACGTAACGTCATATTGTCTTTTGGCCACTGCCAGACTAAACAGACACGGTTTCTCGCAATCAGTGTGGAGGAATTCATCGGTGGAGAGGAGAGTGGTAGTGAGGGTAATGTTACCTTTCCCCTACGTTCGACTACTCTGCTTCGAAACCACTCGAAGTTCAAAAAAAGTTTGGAGTTTCCAGAATTTTTTTTTTTTTTTTTTTTTTTTTTTCATGGTTTGAAACTCTCGAAATTTATAAGAAAGAGTATAAAATCAACGAATAAAAAATCATTTGCAGCATGAATAAAGAAAATGTTTGATTCGTGTGTATATCTCGAATGTTCGATGCGAGATGCTTCGTCAAGATAGCGAAAAGCCATTATTCGATTTGCTTCGATATTTTATCACAAGTTCATGTTTAATAAGTTTATAAAAAAAATTTGTAATGATAATAATTAATTTGTATTAAATTTCTTTTACTTAAGTATTAATAAGAAACATTGTTTTCGTTTTTATTTACTGTCGATAACACAGGGGAACACATCTCTGTTGCCAAAGATTTTACGAGTTGATTTTGAATAATCGGGGGCTCCTTGGTACGAATGTGCTAATTTGTTAATTTCTCTAGATTGAGTCTAGTTATCGAGCAACACATATTTTACAAACCCATTGTTTGTCCTGTTGTCTAATTTGACGTTCAAAGTATGCCTGTTTTACGAAGTCTGTGATATTTTCTTCTCCATTGGAACCATTCGGGACGTAATTTCATACATACAGTTCTCTATATATACCGAAGAAAAAGAAGACACCTGTTGCTAGCAGATAATTCGTTCAGATAATATAAAGTATTACTGTATACCTTAAAGCTGTTTATAATTTTGGCTCAATTATCAATTTACGTACAATATGTCTCGATTAATAAATGCATTTTGATAGATCATCGAAATATAAAAAATAAAATTTACACAGAGTGTTTCAAACTTAATGACACAAAGAGAACAGAAGGTGATTCTGAACATGAAAATAAAGAACAAAATTTTTTCATTTAAGATCTCGTTTTTTTAATTAAGTTTAATTCGTGTTAAATCAAGATCGTGTAAAAAGAGTTTTATGTGAAAACAAAATTGGGTGTATTAATCCTCGATATCGTTTAAAAATTTCTTTCCTCATTAAAACAAATGAAATCTTATTGCACAGGATTGATTTTTCATGGATAATTTCTTACTTACCTACTGACGGTCAACCGTTTAAAACTACTATGTGTTTAAAAAAAAAATCTTTCATTTCTTTAAACGATTTTATTTAAAACTTTAAAAAGAAGAAAAATCACAATTTGTATGCAATTTGTAATACATGCCAATGCAATCAATACATCATTTACTCTAGACATTTTTTCAATTAATTTATTAGGATCATTATCCTGAAGGTTGCTAGTACCCCCTAGCAACGAACTTAAAAGCAAAGATACTTGACAAAAATTCTAAACTAATGGGAAGTCGACCTGAAATTTTTAAAGTAGTCTCAAACTGATAGTGATTTTAATGTTTTTAGCTTTTAACATCAGGCTCAAAAGCCTGCACGTAGGTAAAAAACATGGGAAAAAAGAAATATTTACACGAAGATTAGGCGAGTGACCTGACGTGGTGCAATCGAAGGCAATTGTACAGGACGAAAACTTTTTTAAAGAAAAGTCACCTCTGGTGAGAAGAGTTCGTTGGAAACCGTGTGGCAATCGCGCCATCTTCGTTGGAATCGTGTTTGGAAACAAAGCGGGGATCCCTTGGTATACTTTTCGAGGTTACGTTCTGTTTAATCTAACGATCAAAGGTGTGAAATATAAATATAATTTCGAGGTGTTTCGGATCATTGGCTCCTCTGTACATAACGTTACGGAAACGACCAGATTGCCAGTGTTAAATGTAGTAAAAGACACGTGGTGCAATCGAAAGGCAAATTTGAAAGGCCCTGTGAAAAAAGCTATTGCGTTAGAACCATGACGAAAGAAGATTAAAGCATGGGTTGACGTCTTTCTGCAAAAAGCAGTCAAATATTCAAATACCAACAATAGCGATAACATATAAATTAATATAATCAATTCTTATTACTGTATATTATAATATAATACAGTATAA